AAATTTTGGAGTTTTCACGGTACTAATTATTCCAGTTCAATGAAACTTAGTACAAAGATGCTCTAGGACAATGTACAAACCTAATTAGTTTGGGGTAAAAATCTGTTCATATTAATTCCCTACTATGACACGAAACACGTGTTTTGATGTAAATAAACAATCTGTTGTATACGCCACTTGGAACTCAAATTTCAAGGACACGCTCGCGACAACCCCTCCGCTTTACTATGACGAGCACAAAGAGAACTTAACGGGGACTGTGTCATTTTCAATGACTTGTTGTATGTGCAAATTGCAAGTGCTAGTGCTGACACATAGTGCATTTTGCCACAGAAGTCATTTCCTGTTTGGGACTACATGACAGGGCTGTGTGGCCATCTCTGTCAAATGGCAATTTTAATGCACTATTCTGGCGTCAACCAGGCTTGGTCGAACACAAGCACCTGCGGGCCTTAACAAAGGTTCCCCCAAAGTCGCATTCGTTAGTGAATGAATCTCGGCCAGTGGAATTGGCCTTCCCATTGAGTCTGTGGCACACTCGCCCAGGGTAGGGGTTGACCCTTTGATGTTCAGCCTAAGGTAGGATTTGAACTTGGGTCTACCGATCAGGAGTCTGGAGCGACAACCACTATGCTACCAGTGACCGGATCGGGGTTTGCGCGGTCGAAAATAAAGCGGGAATTGTCTGGTTGAATTCAACAAGCAGTCGGAAAAGCGAGAGAAAAGGGTGACTGGGAAGCGGGCGGGAGGTTGTGCAAAATAAGTACTGTAACTTTGCGCAACTTTCTTTTAAATCGTTTTATTTTTTAAGTCAATATTCTATTTTACTGATACTATTTTTTTCTAACGCAATGGCGAAGAAAAGAAAGCATTGACAGACAAGGCAAAGAAAAATCAGCCACTCAGTGTCGCAATCTGAAATGGCAATTTGTTTTCAAACATCAGCCATTTTGTTTCACCATGAAAACTGTTTTATCAGAGACACTTGAAGGATTAGCTTGTTTGTAAACTGTCAGCGTGTACAGTGGAACAGTAATGTTTGTCAGAAGATTATCCATCGTTGTTTGTTTGCATAACAATGGAAACCCGAACGTTCCTGGAGTACGGACTCAAATGCCAGCAGTTTTCTTCATTTTTCACGCTCGAGCTTGAAATTATTCATTATCTGACACTCTTTACGAGTTCTATGATATCAGAGGTTAATATGTTTGGCCATTTTTAGTGTATATTTATAATAATGCAGCAAATCTACAGTGTTTTATTAACCAAAACTGTTTTTCGCTTTTTTCTCAAGTTGAAGTTTTGACTGAGTACGACTCATTGGGATCGCCGCCAAATCAAACGCTGGTGCAAAATATGTCTGGGTTTTTAAAGAAAATGCTTTGTCACAGAATAATAGTCTGTTAAAGTGCCAAGTATGAAATAATTTGGACAAAAAAAACAAACCTGCATAGAAATCGGAATAGGTCTCTTGATTACCAGGGACACATTTCAATGGACTTGATTGATCGACTGGTAGCCGTTTTGTTTTAATTAATGCTGTTCCAGAGCAATATTTCTCATTATGAACAAGTACTTGTACTATATTACTATAAACAAAACTATATAACTTAAATTTGATAACTAACGAAGATTGTGTCATGAATGGCTTGTTGTAATCAGATTGACAGGAAATGCCATTTTTTGTTAACAGATAGAGATATGGGGGCACGTCACAGGGCTCGTGCTCATTCAATACAGATATTGAAAGTAGAGAAAATAGCAGCAAGCAAGTGTAGAAGACCTCATGTCAAGCAGTTCCATGTGAGTATCTATTATTTCTTTGTATGAAAAGGTACAAATGCAGGAGACTGAGGATCAATTAATTTTTTTGTATAAAGATTTAAATAGTAATTCTTTTATTTGTATTGACAAATCATTCTCTGAATCAGTAACATACTGTAAAACGTGTCTTTTTCGCGAGCATGTCTTTTTGGCGAATTTAGCGAGAGAACTGATTCGCTAATTCAAGATGTTGCTAATGACTTTATTATCATTTCAAAATGGCCGCCAAACAAAGAAATCAACAATGACAAGAGAGATTCGCTAAATCAACATTTCGCTATTACGTCAGGGGTTGCATTAGTGTTCGATAATGTGGAGTCCCTGGGACCCACCCCTTATAAAATGTGTGGGTCCCTTAACAATATGTGGGGTCCCTGCCGCTACCGCACTTTATTTTTCTAAAATAGTTTTTTGCACGAACTATTACACAATAAACATAAACAGGCATTAATCACATTTACATATTGTACTTTATTTACATGTTCATTCCAGCCTTTACATGTCAGCAATCTGCATTATTTGCATGGTTTACTTCTATTTTTACTGTTATTAAAATGTAATGCTGCTTGTAAAAATTTTAAATCATTACTGGGTTTACCTTCAAGTTCTTCATAAGCCAAGATAAATGAGCTGGTGTCAGACTTAACATGGAGGTAAAAATAGACTTAATACGATTCTGACAAGAAAAGGCATGGTCACATGGAACCTGCCGGGGAGGCGATCTTGCAAATAACGAATCGATCCATGGCTTCTAGAAAAGTGATTTTTTTCTCCCAAAGTCACTTGTGTTATATAATTAAATAGTTCATTGTTTCGATTAATATTGTCCCCAGAAACCAATACACCCAAAATTTGTACATACTAGTATTCAGTAGTACTGCAGTAAATTCGCCTCTGGGCAGTTTAGGTTTTTTTTTAAAAAACAGGACCAAGAAATCTCTGATTTTTCGGCAGATTTTATTTAATATTTGTTATTTAAATATTTTGGCGTCCTTTTTCGGACATTTCAATCTTTCCTGGCGCCTAAAATAGAGTTTAAGTTTTTATTCAAGGGTACGTTATTTGTGACTTCGTTTCGGTTCGAGTTGTTGTCACTGTAAATGATGTTAAATTAGTCTTCAAACGCTCAGTTTATATTTTGAAAACAACTATTTTTTTATTTGAAAAAAAAATCATGCCGTTTTCCCGTAAAAATCCAAGCCAAATGATCGTACTACAACATCGGCAAATCTCTTCCGCATTGCGTTAAAAACATTAACATATTTAAATGAGCTATGGTAATTTGAACACGTTAGCGTTATCCAGCATTTGTATTGGTTAATTAGAGATTTGACCTATTAGTTCAACCATGCAAGACAAGGAACATGGCGGATACTCGACAGCATCTAGCGTTAATTTGCGACCGGAATTATTTACGAGGAAACGAAGTTGAATTTTATTTGCATTTCATTACAATTCAACAATTTTTTGTTTGAACGTTATTATAATCACTATTGAGTAATAATTAACAATTGTGAAACGCAGCATGACTGGATTGCGCAACCGTGATCATTTGTTGCTCGGCAGTTGTGATCGTTTTTACTTTGTTTAGAATATAATTTCGTTACCAATAAAATTAGGAAAAAAAAGTTTATTTCACGTACCAGGTTCGTTAAAGTGATTTGTTGGAAAAAAATTACCCTGGGTGACATTGTAAGTTTTAGGCGGTTAAATTAGCAGGTCACAGTGCATTCTACTTGTCTCAGTATTGACTGTCTCGCCGTACTTTAGATGGGACTTCACACTTTCCATTGTGACATGTAGATGCTAATAGGTGTTTTTGAAGACAATGGCATAGTGTTTTATGTGAATTTACAAGCTCTATGAACTTTGTATGCGGGACAATGGCATCGCAAACGCACACAATGCCTTTAGACCTATCGTAATACGACCGAGACGTGTGCTCACCGGATGCGTCCCAAGGACTCACCAGTTGACAAATTCATGCCTCCCACATAAAAACTATGCTTCCCGGACGCGGAATTCCGTGTTAACGCAATCCCTGTACGTCATTTTACTACAATTCGCTAAATTGCATGCCGCTCTTTCAACATGTTTTACAGCACGCGAAATCGTATGCAGGGGAAAAAAATGCAAACTGGCATGTGCCATAAAAAGCTTGTAGTGTTCTTGGTTAACATAAAACTTTCATCCTTGCTAAGTTTTTACCAAATTACATGTCGTATATACAACCATTTATTCATCAATATTGCAAGTCCATTTTCACCTATGCAAATTATGATAATTGTAAATGCTTTTATAAATTTTATTTATATTTCAGAATTCAAAGATCAGGTTCCCTCTTCCTCATCGTACCACAGTCCAGCTGCACAAACCCCGTTTCACTACTCGCAGACCCAACACATGTTTCTAGTGCATTTGTACAATAGTGATACTGGTATTGTTGTGTAAAATGAAATAAAGATACTAAACGGAATAAATGTATGAATTGTATCTCTTGAGTGCTTGTGTGTGTGTGTGGGGGGGGGGGGGTCTGTTTCGTGATGACAACGCAGAGTTTTGACCTGGTATGTTGAGAGTTGTTTGTTGGTTATCTATATATTGCAATAATTAATAACGACAAGGTTACTGGTATATCAGACAAAATATGTATTGCACGTTTTCGGTGTTTGATTAGTTTGTTTTCCAAACAGCACATTTGTTTAGGAGGGTGTCAGAAAGTCAAAATTTTTCTAACTAGTCGAAAATTACAGTATAGGACACAGAGTACAAGATTGTTTCTTTACAATTTTTGTTCCACCATTATTCAGATATAGATTCAGCCTCAGTGATCACACATTCTTGTAAAATTTGGTTAATCTGTGCGTACCTGGATTAAAGTTGTTTATAGAATCTTTGGTTCAGGTAGCTGTACTACACTATCAGATGACTGGTTGGGTTGTACTGAAGAACTGGTTGTAGAATTTTGGGTTTAATATATAAAATTTGAATATAATCGAAGTCAAAGCATTTAAGAGATATGGCTCTAGAAGCCCAATCATTAAAACAAAATGGCTGCCAGTCAGCTATTTTGAATCCAATCTGAAAAATAAAATGACGTGCATCAGGAACCTGTAATGTCTAATGTAAGTTTGAACGAAATCGATCCCAGAAATGCTTGATATTTGATGACTTTTTAGCACAAAAATTACCACCATTCGGCCATTTTGAATAGGATCGTTTAACCAATATATCTGTTTATCTATGACATGATGTATAATGAATATTTAAAATTTGAACATAATCAGTGAAAGCAAGTCAGAGATATGGCACGAGAACCACATTCATTAAAACAAAATGGCTGCCAGTCGGCCATTTTGAATCTTATCTGAAAAACAAAATTTGCATCAAGGTCCATAATGTCTATACCAAGTTTGAACAAAATCCATCTGTAAACGGCCGAAAAATGCTTGATTTTTGGGATTTTTTAGCACAAAAATGGCCGCCATTCGGCCATCTTGAATCAGATCGTAAAACAAAATGATGTGCATCAAGGTCCTATGTCTCGTGTATGTACTAAAAATTTGAACAAAATCCATTTGTAAACGGCTGAGAAATGCTTGATTTTGATGATTTTTAGCACAAAAATGGCCGCTATTCGGCCATCTTGAATCAGATCGTGAAACAAATTGACGTGCATATGTATAATATCATGTGTGAAGTTTGATTGTGATTAGTGCAGGCATTTCTAAGATACAGGTCCGGACGCATGCACGTACACTTGGAGGTCAAAACATAAGTCCCCGTTAGCAACAGCTAACTTGGTGCCAAATGCATCTATACTGTATTGAATCGCACATTGTCCGGTACCATATTTTCATTCATTACCAAAAATTACAAAAATATTCACCAAAATTAAAGATATCATCACGAAATGACCAAATCTGAGAAAGGTCCACATGTAGTACCTATTATATAAAATAGTCCATCATTTATTGCTCAACTGTGACCACATGCCATCATTCTGTTAACATCCATACATTTTCATAAAATCTCCATGCACTTTTTGACCTTTCATAAGTAAAATACACTACAATTTACTCCAGAAAAACAATTTTTTGGTACATTCCTACATTCTTGCATACTAATGAGGGATTCAGACACATTCCAAGCTGAACAATTTTCTTGGACTAATAACAAAGCTGGTCAATCCTTTCCCAGCAATAATAGCAAAGCAATCAGACTTAAGGTGGAGATGCAGGTTCGTGTGCACTTGGGAGTGAATTTTTTTTTTTTTTTTTTATAGACTTAAAATTTTGTAGAATTGTGAATAGTGGAACATGCTCAAAAAACGATTTTAAAATATAGATAACAAAGATTCTCTCTTTTGAATGCTTAGCAAGATTTAGCAAGGCTGTACATAAATAATAAAAAAAAAACATGGTGAAAAAAAAAATGAAAGGATCTCCATATTAGGCACTATATTTAACTTTTTAACAAAACGATAATACATTTAAATTTGAAACTGTTACAGCCATTTTAATTATGAGCATTAGCAAACTTCTTACTGAGTGAATTGTTATGCAAATTAGCAATTATCTCGGTTTCTTTTTAGTGCACATCTCAGAACTTAAAAAAAAATAGCTCCTAGACGCTTTGACCTTTTGTTTTGAAATTTTCACAAATGATTGACAATGTGTTTATCTTCAAAACGCCGTCGGGCATGTTTTTGGCTGAACAGTGTTACAACAATCGTACAGACAACTAGCCTGGGTGTTAATTTATGCATAAACTTGAAGTAGTGAAATTTGAGCTGCTGCCCTGCAAGATTGACAACTGGTAGACAAATTTCAAGACGGCACTTTCTTCATAGTAAACGGATGTACCAATAAACCAATTTTGACAGGAAACAGAAGCATGGTTTAGAAGCTAATTTTTTTTAAATCACTTTTGACCAAAAATACACATTTTTGTGCATATTTCAAACTACATTGTCCTTAAAAAAAAAAAATACTAACAAAATTTTACCGGTCACTGGTAGCATAGTGGTTGTCGCATCAGACTCGTGATCGGTAGACCCAAGTTCAAATCCTACCTTAGGCTGAACATCAAAGGGTCGACCTCTTCCCTGGGTGAGTGTGCCACAGACTCAATGGGATTCATTCACTAACGAATGCGACTTTGGGGGAACCTTGGTTAAGGTCCGCAGGTGCTTTTGTTCGACTGAGCCTGGTTGACGCCAGGATAGTGCATTAAAATTGACGTTTGATAGGGAGATGGCCACACAGCCCTGTCGTGCAGTCCCAAACAGGAAATGACTTCTGTGGCAAAATGCACTATGTGTCAGCACAAGCACTTGCAATTTGCACTTACAAAAATAGAAAATTCATACAATAAGCTTTCCGAAAATATATAGTTTTGTGGACAAGGGAGGTCATCTTGGTTTCCTAATTACCTAATTAAAATACCTGTCAGGTTAACTGCATCTCTACTTTAAAGTTTTCAACAAGAAGTCGCAAATATCACTTTTTACCAAAAATGACAAAAATATTCACCAAAATTAGAGAATTAAAGATATCATCACGAAATGAACAAATCTGAGAGAGGTCCACATATACCGTAGTACCAGAGGTACATTACTTGGGGTTTGCAACTCGCATAGTACTGTATGGTGACATCATGTCAAGATCCCATTCAAGTCTCTTCTCGTAGATAGCGAGACTGAGGCTACGACCTTCTGACATGACGCATATTAATGTTCAAGGTTTGTAATGAAAAAAATAAACTTTTCTTGTCACTATCATAGTGAAAAATGTAATACATCGAAAATGTACAGAAAATATAGTTCTCGTAATCCGTCATATCGTGGGCAGCTATTTTGATCCACCTGGACATCCCAGTATCCTAGTTACCTCGGGCATGCGCATTCGCATTTTTTCTGAGTTGGAACGTTTATGCGAGAGCGAGATTGTGACGGGATCTTGTTATCATGTCACCGTAGTTACAAACCCCAAGTAATGTACTTCTGGTAGTACCTATATATGTAATATCAAAGTAATCAAACTTGCAGTTTTTACAGAGAAAGAACCATCCAAGGTACTTTCATATCAAATTTGAAAACATTCTGACTTGCGGTTTCAAAGAAGAAGTTAAAATTGTAAAGTTGACGACGACGGACAATCAGTAATATGAACAGCTAAGACTGATTTTTTGAATACCTTAGTGCCAAATGTATCTCACCCTACATTTCTACGATTAAAAAGCACGGACATAGCTCATTCTACTCAGCTTGAGTGTGGGCATAAATTTACTGTTTTTAGGAGTCCAAGCCCTATTGTTATCACTGGATTTTTTTTTTTTGCATCTTCTTTCTGCTGCTTTTTTTCGTCAGCTGGGTTGAGGAAATGGCTGAACTTGCTGTGCTGATTGGTGATGATGTGAACTTGTGCACTGAACTTTTAAAATTTGTATTGGTCAACTGTCATGGCCACTATCGAAGGTCAAAATTCAACGAGAGGGGGGAGGGTTATCACCACTTTCTGAGGGTCTAAGGCTTTCAATTTTTTACTGTATATAGTACTGCCTACGTGCAATAAATATCGCCAATAAAGACTTTAGCGGTCGCATGATTTTTTTTATGTACATTTGAAAAAAATGCTGACTCGGAATTTTTTTTTTCATTAAAATCTTTTGTTCTCCTGAACAATATTGCCGGTCGCTATGAAACTTAGTATATAGCTTCTACTAACCTATATCTACTAAGTTTGAAAAACAAAATAAATTTGATTGGTCCATTAATTTGGTCGCCATCTTTGATTTGGTAAAAACCGAAATCGACCATTTTGACCACTTTGTGACAGTCTGGAAGTCCCACTTTTTGTTGTGTAGCACCTGTAGCCCATGCCTATCCTTAACGAGGTATAAGAACATTATAGGTCACGTGACGTTGGCCGCTATTTTGTTTTGTCCAAAATGAGGCTAAATCCTTTGAAAATCTTTTTCTCATAAAGTTGCAGACCGATTGACACGAAATTTGGCATAATCTATCTACATGCATAGCTCTTTCAAGTTTGAGCTCAAAAAGTTAATTGGTCATGTGGTTTGGCCGCCATTTTGTATTTTTAACAAAAGTTACCAAAAGTTTGCGCATTTCTTTCTCACTGGTGCTTCAATCAATTAACTGCCAATTGTGTATATAACATGTCTGGTCATAGCTGCATATGAAAAAAATAATATATTTTCAATCAGTCACATGGTTTGGCCGCCAATATTGGATTATAGGACCATATATTGTCATGTGAGCTCATTAATATTCATAACTATCACATCTGTAACCTATTGCAGAATAGTACATGCAACTAGTGCCATAATGAAGGCATAAAACAAAAGATGTAACTGGCTTAAGCAATGGCCATATATGATCATGTAACCTCGTAAATATGCATAAACAATACACTCAAAGTTTACCTCCCAGATTGAAATATTTAACATGTTTACACTT